TTGATAAATTAGTGGTTTAACTTATACTTATTAAACTATTGCAATATCAATCCATATTACACGTCAAGCTTTTAATCTCGTATCACGTGACAGATGATTGGCAGGTGACAGATTAATGCTCGAACTTATATAATTACTTATTATTGCTGTAATATATTTTATGTTGTCATAATAATGATCTTTAATTGTTGCTAGCAACAGCGCCATGTCCAATTTAATATAATTTGTCGACATGTATACCCTAGGTGGAAGCGGACGTTAAGCTCCGCTGACTGACTGGCCACTCATCAGTGTGTCTGCAATTGTAAGGTACAGAGTAGTGTTTATTGATTTTCTGGGTATATTCAAACTGTGCATAAATTTGTCGATCCGTTATACTTTATACATTTTCATTATATCCGAAAAGTCGTCAAGTAAGTCCGAATCGTCGTAAAACTGAGTCCGAGTCGTCGTTACTTTTGAGTCCAAAAGGCGCGAGACCGAAATATCGTACTACCATTTTTCCTTTAGTACTATGAGAGTCAGGATGTTCTGGTCTACAAACGTAAGTGAAACGAAATCCAGTAATTCGATTGGCTAAAGTTATACAAACGGAAACACGAATGCTGAAGTCTTATTAACATTTCTCTGTCATTTGTTCCCACGTCAGGTAATTTATCATGATCGTTATAACATAAATTGTACTTCAATTTGAAGCTCAGGTAGCCAGGAAAACAATGATCGTTCCATTTGACAATTATCTTAGTCTCATTTATGTTTATATTTGATGTTTCCTCGATGTAATACACTAATAAATCGTAGGCTACCGCTCAGTCATTGTCAATAAGTCAGATCGACCACTCACTTTGTTGATATATTCGTAGGCTGGTGAGTGTTCATTTTCCATTTCATAGTAATAATTCTTTATAAACCCGTTAGATATATAAGATTGCCATGAACTACACGTGTAACTTAATAGGTCGGCCAGTCTGTCATAATTACTATGATGTGAGTTGAGTGTAGCTCACTAGCTGTAAGATTTGAGTTGCTATAAACAAAAGGGACGTAACTCCGTAATAATAGGCCTATTTATTTAGGAAAACACACAACTTTGTAGAATGAATCAAAATGGTTTTCACATTAGAACATAGGACTAGGAGTAAGATGTATTCTGTAATAACCATAGCCCGCCAGTATTAGGCAAATTAACATTGTACTGGTATTTAATTGTATTTTGTTGTATTTTGTATTTTACATGCTTGAAAACGGAAGCATAGTGAAAATTAAGTTCACCCCCATGCTCTGAAAATAAATACTGTATTATTATTAACCTTTCTCTGTCCTTTGTTCCCACTTCAGGTCCAGTCCAGTGCTACACAATATTATTCTGGTTAGAAGTGGACGTTAAGCACGAGGAACCAACCATCATTCACCATAACAGATTGTATACGTAGGACACACTGCAGCTCGCGTTATGGAGCCTAATGATACAGGAGACGATCAAAAACTTGGTGCACTGAGCATCGAACAGCAAACAAAACTAAATAACTTTAAGATTCAAACACGATTAGGAAACGAGAAGTATCTGTGTGATCATCCAGAAGTTGAATGTCTGCTTGGCGGATTCTTAGCAGATGTGTTGACTAGCAGACCCGTAAATATACAGGAGTTTGCCGCTGATTATTTCACCCAACCGAGTCTCAATACCATAGTGGAAAAACAGATGGAGGACAGGCAAGCTCGAATAAAACAAAATAAAGTTCTACAGAAAATTTGATTCTATATTATTAGTTATGTAATAAATTATTTGACAATTATATTGTTGTGCAGGAATGTAATAAATATTAGACAAATATATTGTTGTGCAGGGAGGAATGTATACCCTGAATCAATGGTTCTTAACCTTTTTATTTGCTCGTACCCTTTGAGCTTTTGTAATATTTCCCCGTACCCCCATGTCTAAAATGACAACGTATGAAACACGTTAGGTCTTACACCGTAAACTTGTATAGGAAGCCAACAGTCCACAAATCTAATTACATGTGTGCAATGCTCATGTGAAAATCGGTTTGATGATTCCATTGGAACAGGAAGTGATGTCAGTCCAAGGGTAATATACATGTAGCACCAGTGAAATGCATTCTAGTTCATTATTTTTAGTACAATTTAAGTACTAGTAGGCCTATACAGTATTGAATTTGATATCATATCTCGTACAGCCTGTTTTGATGCTTTTTATCCCTGGTGAAGAACGACTGCCCTAATACATGTGAAACCCATAGTATATTGTTGTGTAAGATTGTATAATAGAACGATATCTATTGATGTACTATCATTTTTGTGTGACCTTAACATGCTTAAATAACAAAGGGTGGGTTTTATTTTTCGGAACATATCAATAAAGAAAACAAAATCAAAATATCAACACAGATATCCAACCGGCTTGGATTCAGTTGGATCTAAAACATTCCAATCAATTTGATTCACTGCAAATAAAGATGGAGGATGTTCTGTTACTTAGGGAGCAATTTTGGACTGACATTCTCATTAGAGACAGAACCTTCACATACACATACAGTTGTAAAGCAAATGGTGGCCACTCATTGTTAATGAAGCTCCATAATACAGGCTGTAAATAAAAAATACTATGTAGGAGGTAAACAATGGGCCATGCCCCACCCCCCGGCCCACATGTTATCAAACATTGTTGTATTTGTTACCATTCTTTTTAAAAATGTCATTTTCAGCATATCATCTGTGTAGGGCAGGTTGGATCTTTAAGAAACCCTTAAGGTTGTAGCACTGCTGTGCGGGCAAAATTTCTTTCATATCACACTCATATTGCCCGTCTCCATTAGCCGAGCCAAAGCCAGAGCGGAGCAGCAGGACGTTGGTCCGAATTTCAGTTCATTTGTATCTTTAAGCCAAAGAGCACCAACTATGAGAATGAATCAACAGCATATAAACATATTAATATTAATAATTGCTGACTCAGACTGGTTAATTCTGTCTATGATATATAATTTCTATATTAATTATGATTGATACAACTGAATAATAAACTATTTTAACTGTTCCATATTGTACTCTTCTGTAATTGACTACATACAGTACTATATGTCTTGGTCACTACTCACTTCATTAATAAGCTACATGCCTAGACATTATTGTCTTTATAATTGTCTAGAGAGAGAGAGCGAGAAGGTTAACGCCCACTTGGCATGAACTAGGTAATTGCGGGACTAACACATAGTCTTTAGCAGTGGGAGGAAACTGGAGGAGAGAACCATAAGGCTGGACAGATGACCATATTCCGTGACAGTATATATATAAAAGGGGAATAGAAACCACTTTACTTTACTCAATGACATACCTAATGATCTGGTTTCACTTAGCCAGCACACTATAGGTCATTGTGTTTTCTGGGTCAGACAATAGATTATTGGAGTACCATAATTATTCTAGTTCATGTGTATTAAGCTTCCCTGTCAATGTTTAAATAAGGTTAAAATGATACACAGCATGGTAATTGATTTAATGTAGATTATTTATCTTATATCTAATAAATAGATGAAACGGCTGACCTCGTGAAACAGAGCAAAGAAAGAAATATTGAAAAACTTCCTGTTATTTGGTTTACAAGTGGTATTTATTCTTTGGCTCTTAAGGACATTAAACTGAGATAAGTTGGGCTTAAAGATGCTTTCCTGCCTACAAACTGTGTGATTTGATGATATATTTATTCAAATTAAAATTGAACCATATATTTGTCCCGACATAACGGACGAATTCCGAGAAACTTCATCGGCCAACAACAGGATCGATCCCAGGAAGTTATGCTTTGTGACTCTCTGAATTTGGAGAAGGAGCAGTGAAATTGAACAATGCGAGACAAATTGTCCCCAGTTTAACGTCATACTTTTCTGCACCGACTGGGCTAATCAAATAACATATACCAAGTTTAGAACCTCGGCAAAATCGTGACTATAGAAATTCAATATTAAATGATAAATCAATTAACAGATTGATTTGTATATTATCTCAGTAAGCAATCGTTTATTGTATGTATTTGACTAGGAAGTCAATATTTGGGATAAATGGGTTAATCGATACTGCTAATAAGCCAAATTGATCTGAATTTTACCATTTGGCTCAATATATGCTTTGGCCTTAAACATGCATTCCAGCATACAAATTGTGTTATTTGATGACATATTTAACCTAAAAACATACTCAAACTAATTTGATATTAAAAGTTTGCTTGAAATTGTTCTGAAAACACGATTTTAAGCAATCTTGTTTGTCACTTGACTTGTTTCAGGGAGAATCTATTTCATGTTGTATTTGTTGTCAGTCGCTGTCCATTTACCATAAATTTCGTAGGGTTAGTAAATAATTGGTTTATCTCTGCCAACTACTTTTCCTGCCCTTGAATCAACGAGTCTACTGAATGTTCTCAATACCTCTAGCCATTAGATCAATACATAAGAAACGCCACTTCCATCACTCGACAACAGCGGGGTGGGGGCTGTTCTGGTGTGACTGACCGAGGAGTCTCGGGTTCTGCCCCGGGAAAGTTCCTTGCATCTGAGGCCATTTGTATAGGCTCAATATGAGCCCGAGACATGGACCCGGAGCAGTGGATAAGACACCTTTACATTTTTGTCCTGTGGGCGTCATATGGGTGTTTTTCATAGAATCTACTAGAATCTACATGTAGATTGTGTCTCACTATACATGTATACTAATATGCCATACCCTGTTTAGAACTAAGAGGAATGATAGGCCCACTTCTTAATTGGTATCCCTTAAATCATTAGAGGCGGATATCACAAGATATAAAGCTAGGAGTAAAATTGGGTGACAGTACAAAATAACACAGAGACAAGGTAGTAATGCCTCATGACAAAATGGCAGAGGGAAGTAATGCCACTGAGAAGTAATGTCACAGGACCGAATGTAAGCGAGCAGGGCTTTACACATTGAGCCACAGCGACTGCTGAAAATAAATACAAACAAGAGATAGATAAACACTTTATTTTTAATTAAAGAAAGTTACCGTAAACTGGGGCTACTTTGTACATTCTTTGGAGATTTTCTTTTATATATAAAAATTTATTTCGATTATGGTTTTCTTTTCAAGTGCAGTGATCAGGTTTGGTATAAGGCTACAACATGCACTGTTAAACAAATTGAAATAACCATCTTAAAATATGTATTTTTTTAAAACTATGGCTGTTCAATGATACATAACGCTTTGAACATATCAAAATTATAAGACTTCTGCAACAGAAATAAACACATCTTTAAAAAAGCATCTTCACTGAGGACACTTTTTGGCCTTTTAAAAAATAATGCTAACTAATGCTATGATAAACAAAATAATGAACATGTTTCTTTCATGATAAAAATGTGGTTAAAAATTTGAAAATATTAAATTCGAAAACATCAAAAACTTTAAAACATCAAAAACAAACTTCATAATGTCGGGAACAAAATCCCTGATATAGTGTTACTGAAGGTCAACAAAAAGTTACTATTATGATTCAAAATTAACACATATTTTATAATATGAACCCAGTAACATGTTTTGTAGGGTTTCTTTGAACACCCTATGGGCTTAGTATGAACTGTTCAAAGTTACCCCACAACACATGTTCAATGATGATCAAATTGGAAAAGTTAGATTTTTTGGAATACTTTTTGAATTAAGATTAAATAAAATATATATTTTAGACCATGAATATACTTGCGACACAGAGAAAACATTTGTAGATAGTGAAGTTAATCATTCATATCAAACCTACAAGAAGTTCCCAGAGACTCAAAATCAACCCTTTCTCAATCCACCATGTTCATTTTTTGTGCGGACCAACAAAAGAAAGGTAACTTCACAATGACCACAAAAATAAATCACAAAAAGGTCATAAGTTAGTTGCTAAAAATTTTTTTTAATGTCTTTCCAATTTGTTTTTGGCAATTTTCAGTTAAATCATTTATCAAAAAATGTTCAAAGTTCCCCCCGGTTTCAAAATAGCCCCAGTTTACGGTACTGTGAAATATCAAGAAGTGCTACAGCAGAATAAAAAATAGGCGGTAGGCCACATAGGAGGATAAAGATATTATCTACAACAGGAAGTTAACACTAATTGAATAGTTTTTTTTTTAAAGACGTCGCCTCAGCATATTTGCTACAGCAGGGAGTTAAAATTAATTGCTTAGCTTCCATGGATGGTGTCAAGATATCTGCTACAGCAGGGAGTTAAAACTGATTGTATAGCTTTCAAGGATATTTAATAAAGCAGGGAGTTAAAATGGATTGCATAGATGGCATCAGGATATTTGCCACAGCAGGGAGATAAATGTGATGGATATAGCTCCAGTGAAATTAGGTCAAGGTGTATGAACAGCACTGGGGTATTTTTTTAATTTATTTCTATAATTAGAGCATAATTTACATGAACTGGGTTCGAAGAATAGTGTTTCCCAGCGGTACATAGTGATTTTGTTTGGATGGGGGGGCAAAAATGAGACCGATTGATGCACAGGCCCCTAATATGAGTGACACAGGTGCAAGCTTTTAAGTGGGGTCGGGGGGCATGCATCCCCCACCCCACCGGAGAAATTTTTGAATCTAGAGTCTTTGAATGTTCCTCCCTTCATCATTCCTGCACCCATTGAGATATTACATTTTATAACATTCAAATCTATGAAATTAAACTTTTAAATGGACGGTAACGGGATAAAGAAAAGAAATAATATGAAATAATTACGATCTATGGACCAGGAACTGACAATGTTGATGGATGAAATTCTAAAATCTAATTCACCAAAGAAGAAGCATGCCAATTTTCATGTCAAACAGACAACAAGCAGATGAGTAGGAGTTAGCGATCAGTTCCTGGTTTAAAAAAAATACAAACACCAATATGGCATCCTTTCTAGCAGCAAATACCAAAGCAAAAATATGTCATGACAATATATCATTTAAAATAATGACATGACAATTTATCATATAAAATTTGACATGTCATGATCATTTATCATATAAATATATATGTCATGACCATTTATCACATAAATATATGCCATGACCATTTATCATATAAATATATATGACATTACCATTTATCATATAAATGTCATGATCATTTATCATATATCATGACAATTTATCATATAAATATGTCATAACAATTTATCATATTTATAAAATATGACATACAGTTTACCAAATAAAATATATGGCACAACAATTCATCGCATAAAATCTCTTCATACAGTAACATTAACCATATATAAACACTTTTCATACAATAACAATGTTATTTAAACACTTTCCATACAAGAACATTGGTGTTATTTAAACACATTCCATACAAGAACATTAAAGTTATTTATACAAGAATATACAAGAGCATATTTGAGCAATTGTCGAATTAAAGGTATACCAACAATTTGTATTCCAACATGTTGATCAGGGTTAGTAATTTTAAAGATATACACATCAACAGTAATAGATGCATTATGTAAGAGCTAAATCTACTTATTGCAGGTCTTTATTTTGACCTCAAATGATATTCCCTTTTCATTATCTATTTTTTAACTATTATAGCGAGAACTGTCAGCTCTTTATCTAAATCCTACATAATGCATCTTTAAACTGAACAACATTTAAAGATGTCTAAAGCTATAATGTTTTTTAAATTATAGGCTGTTAATGTTAATTTGGGTTAATCAGAGTGCTCTCTGTATAGACTAGTAACCCTTGGGAAAACAAGGGGTAATATGCAACCTTCGAATCCATTATTCGTTGAAGGTCGCCAACAACAATTTATCTACATAACAGAACAATGGTATGCTAGAAAGACAAATGGTAAATCATAAACAAAAAAGTATCTTAAAATCATGCGTTAATTTGTTCTGTACATACAATCCCTAGTCTCTTAATAATGGCAATTAATAAAGGCTTTACCTAAAGCCGCACATCGTCTTTTGCAATTTTCTGGCAACATCCCATTTTTCACGACTTGGTCATTTAACATTTAAATAAGAAAACACAATCTAAACATCCGGACTTGGATTCAAGCCAAATAAAAAAGAGGTCCATCAAAAGATTTCAGCAAAGATTACAGGTGGCGCTGATTGGTTTTAACCAGAACGTACAAGTTGTTTGCGCTCTGTGGATGGCAAATTTTTAATCCATCATATGTATTTTAATACTGATCGGAATTGAGCCATTTTTCGACTGATATTCCATTTGGATATTCAACAACTTCAGAGACTAATTTGTAAATCAACAAATGACTTTTAAAATACAGAATGAAAGAATGTAAAATAATGTACAATTAAAACCATTCAAAAACCGTATATAAATATACAATGTATCAAATTTTAATCATTTTTACCCCTAAAAATATACAATTACCGGTAACCCTTATAACCTTCCCTAAAAATATACAATTAACCCTTCAAATATACAATTTACCCTTTAACTTTCTCTAAAAATATACAATCAACCCTTTAAACCTTCCATTATTATACACAATAAACCCTTCCAACCTTCCCTAAAAATACTGTCTTCATTAGCCCATTTGGAGCAGAACAGTAGCTAGCTAGGATGTTAAACCCCATTTTATTTCATTTCATTTCCCTAAAAATATAAAATTAATCTTTTTAAACTTACAATTAACCTTTTTTAACCTTCCCTAAAAATATACAATTAACCCTTTTAACCTTCCCTAAAAATATACAGCTAACCCTTCTACTTTACTATAGATGGGATACAGAAGCCAGATCATGTTTGGCGTACACGAAAAAGAACCCTTGGCAGTTAGAATTCAAAGAAAGAGTAAAAGTTGTCCAAGCAAAATGTCACACTGAACGGTGTATGAGATCAGAATAAAAGAAAAGGTTAAATGATTATGCTCCTCTTCATTAGTCACTGGATGATGCAAAAACGTGACAAGTTAAACCCCTTTTTATTTCATTTGTGTAATCATTATATCTGAGCATTATTCTAATTTTTGGTAACTTTTTACAAACTCATTTAACAGGTCAATGATATCGTTTATATCATGATTGTCAACTTCTTGTGATTGTGGAACATTTCTTTTGAATTCGTACAGAAAGTCTAAAATTTGTTTTAATTTCACTCCATGTCCTTTCATCAGTTCCATAATAGCATTGAAAGGGCCATTGGTGTTATCTCCTCTTCTGTGATACCTTAAACAAACCACAAAAATAAATTGCTACACAGCTACAAAACAGCTAGGCCTACACACAGCCATTTTGTCAACAAACCAACATTAAGGCTGATGTCCTGCCTTAATCCCAAAATACATGGGCCTAGATGACCTTGATCCTTATTATTTACTTGCACATTTATCTTTTTTATGAAGCATCCAGCAACAAAACTGCTTACTACTATATGCTTAACCTGAACAGAAGATGTGCATTATCAAACTTAAGTCATGATGTAATAAAATCAACGTCCATCATTGTGTTCTAAAATCTCAGCCAATCTAATTGCTGATCTCTGTGTGACTTAATAATGTGTTATAAGAAATCTGTGTTTACCGATTTCAATAACAACCCCAAATTTTCCTGATGCATTAACTCGTGAAATTCAGATTAAGTAGTTAATCAATTACGATAGGTGTATGACACTGATGACGTATTTACTTAATTAATCCAGCCTAATTATCAAGGACAATCGATATTAGTAATAGTTATACCCTCAGTGCAGTAAATATGTTTAGGAATTTTGCATATTATTTCACCATATCTTGATGTCTGAATGGGCATTTTCCCGGTCCAACGTTTGCCAAATTGCGTAGAACATGTCCGGTGTATATATACAGACAAGCCAGCATCCATGACCTCAGCATAAAAACAAATCATACTTATTCAGGGGAGCCATGGTGGTTGTCGTAGTGCCGCTGTCCAAGCAAAAAATTTCCCCCATAGTACACTGCATAAGTGCATAGTGTATGCCCGTCTTCATTAGCCCAGTTGCAGCAGAAAAGTAGGAGGTTAAACCCCATTTCATTTCATTTCATACTTACTCCAGTCTGTTGATGACATGAGGCGGCAAGTGTAAGATTTCTCTACCAATAACATGCCATGTCACTCTATACTTCTGTTCACTTCGTTCAAGATAGTCTACTAATCTTTCCATAACTATTCTATTTTCATAAACTTTTATCAGTTGTCTTTCGTCCGCATTCTCTTCAGTGATCTCTACCAACAGACAAAATATCTTATTAATAAAACAATACACCAAGAATTAAATTATATTTGATCTTATAATCTAATTGGCACTCACAGTGCCTCAGTGAGTAAGATGTTGGCTCACTAACCTGGTGGTCCTGTGTTTGGTTACAGTGTTGGCAAGGGACAACATTTAGTCGTTTGGATGGGATAAAAAAAACTAAGGTCCTGTGTGCTGTACACGTAAAAGATCTCTTGGCAGTTGCCGCTGTCCAGGCAAATTTTGGCTCATAGCACACTGTATGACATATATGTCTCCATTAGCCCAGTTGGAGCTGAACAATAGGACATTAAACATCATTTTCAAAATGAAATAAGATAGGTTGCCAGGCAACGAAACATACGCCCACAGCAGCTAAATCGTCCGGGCAGTCAACAAGAGTTGTCGCATATTTTTACTTTTTTCGGTAATGAAACATTTATAATACACTAATATCTGATTAAGAGCAACAACTCAGAAAACCATTAGAATTTGTTTGGTTTTTATAAAGTTCTGCCCCATGCTAACGTTTTGTATACAAAACTTTTAATACTGTATCATGGATTTAGCTGTTCCAAGTCATAAAAATTCATTGAAAATCAATATACTTGTTCGTCTCAAGATCCTAAACTCTGTGTATCAATCTGAAGTCAATCGGATATTAACTTTGGCCTCTAGAGCGTCCACAAGATTTTTCAAAGTGATCAAGGGCCATAACTTTGGCAGTAATTATCAGAAATCTTTGAAAATCAATAGGATTCTTCGCCTCGTGACCTCAAACACTGTGTATAAATTTAGTCAATCAGATATTAACTTTAGCCTTTAGAGCATCCACAAGGTTTTTTGAAGTGATCAAGGGCCATAACTCTGGCAGTAATTATCGAAAATCACTGAAAATGAATAGGCTTCTTCGTCTCATGACCTTAAACACTGTGTATAAATTTAAAGTCAATCAGATATTAACTTTAGGCTCTAGAGCATCCACAAGATTTTTCAAAGTGATCAAGGGCCATAACTCTGGCAGTAATTATCGTAAATTGCTGAAAATCAATAGGATTCTTCATCTCATGACCTTAAGCACTGTGTATAAATTTAAAATCAATCGGATATAATAACTTTGGCCTCTAGAGCGTCCACAAGATTTTTTTGAAGTGATCAAGAGCCATAACTATGGCAGTAATTATCAGAAATTGCTGAAAATCAATAGGCTTCTTCGTCTCATGACCTTAAACACTGTGTATAAATCTAAAGTCAATCGGATATTGACTTTCGCCTATAGAGCGTCCACAAGATTTTTTGAAGTGATCAAGGGCCATAACTCTGGCAGTAATTATCGGAAAACGCTGAAAATCAATAGGCTTCTTCGTCTCATGACCTTAATCACTGTGTATAAATTTAAAGTCAATCGGATATTAACTTTGGCCTCTAGAGCGTCCACAAGATCTTTTGAAGTGATCAAGGGCCATAACTCTGGCAGTAATTATCGGAAATCGCTGAAAATCAATAGGCTTCTTCGTCTCATGACCTTAAATACTGTGTATAAATTTAAAGTCAATCGGATATTAACTTTGGCCTCTAGAGCGTCCACAAGATTTTTTGAAGTGATCAAGGGCCATAACTCTGGCAGTAATTATCGGAAATCGCTGAAAATCAATAGGCTTCTTCGTCTCATGACCTTAAACTCTGTGTATAAATTTTAAGTCAATCGGATATTAACTTTGGCCTCTAGAGCGTCCACAAGATTTTTTTGAAGTGATCAAGGGCCATAACTCTGGCAGTAATTATCGGAAATCGCTGAAAATCAATAGGCTTTTTCGTCTCATGACCTTAAACACTGTGTATAAATTTAAAGTCAATCGGATATTAACTTTGGCCTCTAGAGCGTCCACAAGATTTTTTGAAGTGATCAAGTGCCATAACTCTGGCAGTAATTATCGGAAATCGCTGAAAATCAATAGGCTTCTTTGTCTCATGACCTTAAACACTGTGTATAAATTTAAAGTCAATCGGATATTAACTTTGGCCTCTAGAGCGTCCACAAGATCTTTTGAAGTGATCAAGGGCCATAACTCTGGCAGTAATTATCGGAAATCGCTGAAAATCAATAGGCTTCTTCGTCTCATGGCCTTAAACACTGTATATTAACTTTAGCCTCTACTTGTGGACGCCGGACGGACGGACGGACGGACGGGGGCGACGACAATATACGACCACATTTCAATGTGGGCGGATAAAAATGGTTTTTAACCATTTATAAACATCCTTTTTTCTGCCTCAACTAGTCTAATGAAGACGGGCATACAACATTATTTGTAGTATGAATAAAAATTTTTGTGGAAAATGTATAATAAAAGTTAAGCTACTTACCTGGTGCTGCAGGTTCTTCTAGAACAAACATATTGGCATCATTAACAACTCCGTTCATTTGTGTGCTAAGAAGCACAGTTCCATCACCATCTGTTTAACATAAAATATTTTCCGGTAAAAAAATTTTTTTTCTCTAACCAATTATTTGACTAACAAATGTAAATAAAGAAAGTACTTAAGTGTGAATCCACTTGGTGACATATTATGTCACAGTTGGGATCAGTCAGCTAAAAGCCCAATAGGTAAACTATATTTCTAACCTGGTAATGTAAACAAGCCAACAGTGAGTGAGGCTGATGTCCCCTGCAGAAATCCGAAAATAAATAGATGAACACATATAAATAAATTGCACATTTATCTAAGCCGAGAAAACCGTATTTTAATATCACTGTTGCCTAGATTGTCAATGTTACCGTTGTCAAGATAATTAACAAAGTCTTAAATATCCATTTTTGCATTTAATTATCAATGGGCGTTGAACATCAGATCGGATTCAAATCAAATGAAAATCAGACACATAAGATGGCATCAGGCATTGGTCTTTACGTGTTAATAAATGTGTAATTAATAGTTTACATAACATTTCAGGCCTAAAGAAAGACCTTCAATGTGCAGATTTACCTCTTGCATAATGTATGTTTTATAAAAACTTAAAGCTATCGTGTCCCAAATCATCAACCAATCAAATTGCTTATCTCTGCTTACCCTAAGCAGTAAATGCTCATCTTCGAAATCCATCAAGACATTCACCTAATAAACACCTACACCATGTTTGAACATTCTAGCTCAACTAGAAGGAGTGTTATTGTTTGCCAAAGTGTGACGGACAGACAGACAGATGGACAGACTCATTTTAATAGTCCCCTGCTTTCTTCAAAAGGCGGGGGACAAATATTATGACTGGGAGATTTCTTGTCGGACTGTGCTGCAGATATATCAGTCTTCTAAGTGATGTATTGGCTTTTTTTTTTTTTTTTTTTCAAAGACTGTACTGGTACATCATATTTCCGAATCGGATAATTGATGTTATTTCTCTTGAATAAGATTCCTAAAATGAACACTAGTGAGATTATAATCCATTAAATAAACAATCGACTTTTGTTTTAGTGAGGTAAAAATTGTTTTCACTCAGATTTGAGCTTACATATATTTCTAAGCCATTGGAACAGAAGATATTTAAGGTCTAAACCATGGTAATCTACATGAATATGAGAACCAAATCGGTTAAATTTACTGTTCAAATTAAGAAATATTTTGTGGTAAATTTGCTGTTCAATTTACGGATTAATTTGTACTCCACTTTAATGGATGATGGCAGAACAAACAACTTTTGATAGGTTCGTAGAATCAATCAACATGGCCAATGAAATCATCAAGGGCAGATAATTTGAACTGGTGACTACTTCATGAATTGATCACAGGTTTAGTGGGATAGAACAGAACAATAGTTCTCAGACAAGCTTTACTGATTATTTCCCAGACAAGCCTTTACTGATTTGTGATGTCATGTACTAATTTTGTAATGCAGAGATAACAACAAACATTTCTATTTAATTTAGATGCATATAAACAGAAAGAGAGAGATTGAGTTTAATGTCCACTCAACATAAACTAGGTCATATCGGGACTAACATATTGTTCCATCTTATTTCAATAAATAGCTTGCTCGTCATGGTCTTTAGCAGTGGGAGTAAACCAGAGGACCAAGAGAAAACCCATGAGCTTGGACTGTCGACCCGTCTCCTTGGCATGTACAATCAGGGGATCAAAACCAAGCCACTTGACTCAATAGCAGACCTTATGATCTGAAGAGGTTACATTAGATTAGACCCTTCAGCCAACACCCCCCACACACATCAAAACAGAATAAGTTGATAATGTGTAGCCTTCAAACAATAAAGCATAAAAGAAAGATATTTGTAAAATTTAATTACAGTTTGGATCAGGTGCAGATTCTACCACTGATGGCGTTGGAGCTACAAACAAAAATGAAATGGGGTTTAACGTGCTATTCTTCTGATCTGACTGGGCTAATGAAGACAGGCACAAGCTATAGTGTGTGCCATGAGAGAAATTTTGCTTGGACAGCAGCGCTAGGGTCTACTCTTACATTGAATTCCAGCTGCCAAGGCTTCTTTTATGTACACACCAATGGTACAGTTTTTTGTACCATCCAAACGACTATATACTGGGGGCTTGCCAGACCCTTTGTTCTGCACAACTGACAACTACAAGGGTTCATGTACATTCATGCCAATGTGTACATAGGACGGGGGGAACCACACCAGAAAATAGCGAAGAACTTTCTCGGCCAACACCAGGATTGAACAAGGGACCTCCAGGCTAGCGAGCCGACGTCTTACTAAGCATGCCAATTTAAAAAAATAGTGATTGCAGTAATTCCTATCAGAATTAAACAATAAGTATACTGTCCTCTGTTATTGTGGTAATAAGGACTTTTGCCCTAACTTTGTAGTCAATACACTTCAATTCTTTCGAACGCTTATAATGTTTATCATTATAACATAGACCATTTAGTTGTACCTGGCTTTTTTATACATTTCACCAAGGTATTTTTCCTTCAATATGCTCACATTTATATTTCATGTGGCATATAGCAGATCATGACTCACCCTGCACTGACTATTAGAGGCATGTCACCAATTAACACATAAATCTTTGATACATTTTTAATCCTAACTTGGGCCATCTTAATAGACATTCTCATAAAAATGTGGGACATCCACCAACATATAACAATAGCTACTGAAATTCCCAGCAAGCCATACCCAAATTTACTTTGTTATCTATTTTTCATGGCCTCACTGTCCTCCTCACGGAAACCCACTTTTAATCCCTTTAACCATTCATCTTCAGAGACCCTTAGTTGGAGAATACCGATTTAAAAAAAATAGATTTCAATATCATGTTTTAGCACTAAGAAAATCTTACCTGGATGAGAATTGCATATTTTTTCCTTTATTTTAAACCTTTTCCCTGAATAATAAAAAGACAGACTGAAATGACATGCAGAGACCTTGTTTAAAATTTGATAGTTTGCAGACTGACATATGCCATGCACTGTGCTATGATTAAAATTTTGCCCAGACAGCCACGCTACGGCCTACTCTTATAATATATCAAGGGCCCTTTTATGTGCATGCCAATGTGTACAAAGGGTCTCTGTTTTTCGTCCCATCCAAATGACTATACATTGTCACTTGCTAGGCTGTCCGTTCTACACCACTGACATGAGGGAACTACACTGATAAACTTTCTTGGCCAAGCCGGAGATCGAACATAGGACCTCTAGGTTAGCGAGCAAACGTCCTACTCATTGAGTCACAGTTGCTCCCCTGTTTTGATACAGAAGTGAACTGTGAACAGAATACTTTCAGAAGTGAGGGTTAACCTTTGATTTCAACAGAGGATGTTGTCAAATGTTTCCTAGGAAACTAGCCAGAAGAGTCAGTCATGTTTGAGAAGCGAGTGTATGGTAGAAATGGAAGTACAGAACTCACAGCCCCCATATCCGAGGTTAAAGGCGAAGGTTTTTCTTTTTTGGGATACAGTGTCTAATGGAAACTCGTCATGAGCATCATCACTCCAATCTAATGCACTGCTCCTGGCAACAAGTGACTGCCCGGTGTACCCAACCTTGCTCCGATCTAGACAGGGTCGATATTCTATACTGTTATGTTTTGGCCAGGTTATTATGTGAATTGATTAAGAGGATAAGATATATAAACCATAGTAGCAAGTAGACCCCACATCACTGGAAATATGCACATACACATACACAGCACACATTCACAGATATAAAACTATGGAAGTCAATTGTTGACAAAATAATAATGATTTGTAAATATATTACAGATACCTAATAAGGTTGTGCGCTGGCTGGCAGTAGGATGACTGGGATGGGGCAAGCAATTGCTGACTGACCTGATGTGTAACCTTCGCGTCTAGAGACAATTGGTACATAGCAAGATTTACGCTGGCTGGCAGTAGGATGAATGTGTCCAGCAGCTAATTTCATTCACTTGAAACTACTAACATTTAAACTGTCTTATATTTTATCATACTTACATAGGATTACTGAAAATACAAGAATTATGAATATTGCAGAGCCTACACTACCACCTATTATTATATAATCATCTCTGGGTTTAGCATCTGTTACCAGTACTTCTTCTGCAGAACCTATTTAATACAAAACAGTTAATATATTAGTTTTAAACTTTATTGAGCTAAAATTCTTTTATTTAGGTGGACGCATGTCATTTTGTTAGATGGGGCCTGGAAAGATCAGGGTGTGTATAGTGATATCTGGAAATGAAATGAAATTAAATGCGGTATAACCAGGGCTGCCGACAACCAGTATCGCAGCGCAATTTGCGATACATATTTTGTCCGTTGCTAATCAAAAATTAAAATCTGACGTTTTTGATTTGCAGTAACTGTGTATCATTAATATGCCTGTCATTTTGGATATTGACACGAAGATTTATCCACATTTCTCAACACTTTCAAAGTGTATAAAATATCAAATAAATTTTATAAGCAAAACTGAATTCTCTGTGTGACATTTTCTTCTCGAACTACCCAGACTCAATTCATTATACTATATAATACAGGGACATAACTCTATGAATTTTGACTATTAAACCGGAAATAGGGAATCAAGTAGTACCATTCATGTTGCGAGACATGTCAATTTCGAGTAATTATATCAGTATTCAACGTATCCCCAACGTATTGTAAATAAAATATAAAAAATATTGTAAATAAAAAAGAATTCGCGTAAAATATTATTGTTTATATCGCGTGCGTCTAGTTAATCGAGATTATTCGTAAAATACTGTGTGCGTCCGATTGAACAAAAATAGTAACACACGATAAAAAGCGGACGAAATTACATTCAGAAATTAAAATGAGTGGGACTTCGGAAGCCACTGCCAAGAATTGGCTTCAAACATAGGCCTAACCAAAAATCTACATTCAGAAATGTTCACAGCTACCTTTAGCAGTGCTAAAATTCTAAAAATCTTGTTATTTAGGTGTTTTATGTTGAAACTGAAAATCTGCTAATCAATTTTTAAATTTGCTAATCAAATTTGGCAAAATTGGACTTTTTGATTAGCAGTGCTGCTAATCATCTGTGAAAAATTGCAGACAGCCCTGGGTATAACGTCCTACTGCTCCGACTGGGCTAATCAAGACAGGCATACATACAGTGTGTTACAAGGAAAATTTTGACCGGACAGCAGCGCTACAGCCTACACCTATATCAAATTCCAGCTGCTAAGGGATCTTTTACGTGCACGCTAATGTGTACATGGGACCTCTAAGAACTAGACACATGTCCTTGTCAGGCCCTCCTTCCTGCACTACTGACAACGGGAAACGATGCCGGAAAATCTTGATGGCTTTCTCAGCTAACACAGGAATCAAACACACGACCTCCAGGTCAGCGAGCCAACATCTTACTCACCGAGCCACCGTGGCTCCCCCGCTGAATAGAAGATTCAATATCATCAGTTACATCACCCCAACCAAAAAGATAGGTTGCCTGGCAACGAAATGTACGCCCACAGCAACTACATCACCCCAACCAAAAACCCAGAGAGAGAGAGAAATGGGGTTTTACGTCCACTCGACACAAACTGGGTCATTTCGGGACTAACATATGGTTTAATTTTATTTCAATAATTCGCTTGCGTGTAAGGGTCTTTAGCAGTGGGAGGAAACCGGAGGACCCGGAGAAAACCCACGAGGTTGGACAGGCGACCCTACTCCTTGTCACTTACAACCAGGGATTCGAAACCACGCCAGTTGACTCAATGGCAGGCCTTATGATACAACACGCACGTGCTAACCATTCGGCCATCCAACCCCCCAACCAAAAACCCCCTCAAATTTACATGTCTCACAGAAACAGATTAATAATTGAATTTTTAATAGTCATGTAATGTGGGGGGAATGTCCATGCCAGGCTCCCATCGGGGTCACACACCACCATCAAAGGAAAACCATGTTAACATTGGGAGCGACACAAGACCTGCGTCTTACTCACTGAGCCACTGCGGCTGGCAGTGAACTATAATGACACTTGTCTGTATTTTAGTCAGGTCATAGAGCAGATATATTTTTTATTTTATATGCAGGAGTCACTGTGGCTTAATGAGTCAGACGCTGGATCACTCACCAGAAGATTCATTAGATTTTCTAGCCTGGTGTTCCCGTTCCGCGGGGTGTTAGGTGACCGAATGGTTAAAGCGTGTGCGTTGCATAATAAGGCCTATCATTGAGTCAAGTGGTGTGGTTTATATTGTGTATCCTCCGGTTTCTTCCTAGTGTTAAAGACCCCTACCCGCAAGCGAATTAATGAAATAAAATTGAACCATATGTTAGTCCTGAAATGACCTAGTTTGCGTCAAGTGGATGTTAAACCCTTTTTCTCTCTCTCTCTCCCCCGTCCTGTGTACACATTGGCATTTATGTACATTGGCATTTGGAGTTCAATGAAACACCATTTCATTTTCATATTGAATTTTAATTTTTAAAATGTCAACTCGATCACAGCTCATAAAATATTGTTAAAGATCTCACCTATCTCTGTAATATTAAATACATTTTCCTTAGTGTAGCCATTCGTTGTGTGATTGTTCCTGCTGGGTATTGGCCTACAGGCAGGTTTTGTTGTTGGAAACCATGTCAAATTACCAGTACACTGTGACCATGTATAGTCAACATCTACTGCATAACCGTTGGTACATTGTAATGTACAATTACTGCCAACAGTCATGTTACCATACAGACACGTCACATTACCATGCTCATCAGACCACAGCTCACACCCTACATACAAACATAAAATAAAATATGAAATGAGAACATAAAAAATCAGCGGCAGCCAGGCAGGATACGCCCACATTTTGCAAGAGATGGATAGAGAACAAGCTAAAAACAAACATGATTTTTTGTACAATCAGGGGCAATAATCCAGAAAGTTATGGCCTGAAATGTGCAAATATCAAACAGGACAGAGATCTTTGGGATAAAAAGATATGTTTAAGTTTCGTCAAAATCGGATAAAAATTGTGACCTCTAGAGGGTCAACAACCATCGTATTACCCACTTCAACACAATGATTAATCTGCGTACAAAGAGCGTCCATTTTGTCGGGCAGTTCTATTTTTATTTTCCCAAAATACGAATTCAACCTTCATTATGGTGGAATGGTGATGTATTTAAAGGGTTTTTAAAATCGGATAAAAATTGTGACTTCTATGGGGTCCACAAGCTAAAAACACAATTTTTCGTACAATCAGGGTCCATAATTCAGGAAGTTATGGTTCGATATGCGCGAATATCAACAGGAACCGAGATCTTTTGGTTATAAACATGCATTTCAGGTTTCATCAAAATCAGACCTCCAGAGGGTCTACAACCCTGATACACAATATTTTGACACTATTAGCGAACGAGGGGCGGCAATTTTGTCTGTCAGTTTCTGTCCAATGTTTATGAAATTCGAACTCAACCATCCTTAGGGTGTAACGGTGATATATTATAACGTTTTTTTTTTTAAATCTGATAAAAATTGTGACCTCTATGGGGTCCACAAGCTAAAAACGTGATTTTTCGAAAAATCAGGGGCCATAATTCAGGAAGTTATGGTCCGATATGTGTGAATATCGAAAGGAACCGAGATCTGTGGGTTATAAACATACATTTCAAGTTTAAACCAAATCATAATCCATGAAGTTACAGTCCAATACATGCTAATATCGAACGGAACCAAGATCTTAGGGTGATAAACCTATATTTCAAGTTTCATTGAAATCGGATAAAAATTGTGACCTGTAGAGTGTTTACAAACAATTGTGGACGGACGGAGAGACGGATATGAAAATGTGGGCATATAAAAACAATCTAAAAGACTCGCAACGAAGATGAATCAACCACCTCTCATTTCCACTAAAGTCTGTTTTGTACTGCTGTTGAGCTGTGATTTTTAAATATCTATTTATGTCTACTAGTATGTACATGTATCTCTGCTGGCATCATCGTTTCATCCAGCAGCTCTGATCTCTTGAGCATTTAAACGAATTGTGGACGGACAGACAGACAGGGTTAACAATATAATATGCGCACATAAAATGTGGACATATCTTAAAATGAAATCTAAATGATTTTTAGAATTTCGAGAGCCACAGAGGCTCAGTGAGTGAGGCGCTAGCTCACAACCATGGAGGTCCTGTACTCTATCCCCGCTGTTAGCCTTTGGGATTTTTCAGGGTGGTTTTCCCTATGTCAGTGGTGCAGGACTGAGGGTCTGGCAAGGAAGAGCATATACAGTAGAATCTGCATTAAGCAGCCACCCAAGGGAATTTTCACAACTGACCGCTTAACGGGAGTGGCCTCTTAATAAAATCTCATTGCTTTTTGTGCTGACATAAATATTAAATTAAAAATTACGCTTGGAAGCGGTAAATTTGGCCGTCGCTGAATCTTGCGCCGAACGAAAATTCTTTACTCAAATCTCGGACATAACTTAACGGGAGTGGCCTTTTAATAAAATCTTGGTGCTTTTTGTGCTGACATAAATTAAATATTACGCTTGAATGCATTGGATGCGGTAAATTTGACCGTCGCTGAATCTTGCGCCGAACGAAAATTCTTTACTCAAATCTCGGACATAACTTCTGTAAACTTGTCATTTTGTACCAACCTTCGATACTACTGTCTACCACTGTGATGCATTCCATAATATTTATCCATTTTTGTGAAGAAAATCAATGAATTCATTTTATTTTATCAAAAAAGCACATGGACAAAAAAAAACATCGCTAATTTCATGACCTATTTACAGGGGGTGTAACTCTGTATGTCATATTATAAGAGGCGCTAAGAGAGATACTAGATGATCGTGACAAAACTCGGTACTTTTATTTTATTCAATCAGTATCAAATAATGTGTCGTTACGCGTGAAAACAATGATCAGGTTAGTCGTTTAATAAAACAAAAGATTAATTAACAGATAATCCCGGGTTGATTGTTATTTTTACATTTCTTTTTACCTGATCAGTGGGGGTCCAGTTAATTAACTACTACTCACGGGATTAGCGGGGGTGTTACAAAGAACGACAAGATGATATCATTCAACAATGGCCGTTGAATGGGCTATGTTTTGTTGAATTTATTAGTAAAATAGTGACCGCTGGCCGCGTTAGATGAGTGACCGTTGAATAAAGAGATGAAACAACAGAATTTCTACGGGGGGAATTTATCGTGACCGCTTACAAGGAGATGTCGCTGAATAGGAGTGGCTGCTCATACAGATTCTACTGTATAGTTGTTTGGAGGGGGTGGAAAATCGGGGTCCCATGTACCCACCAACACATGTACATTTGATGAAAAGTAAGTCCCTCATAGCACACTGCCTGGTGTAAATATGCCCCATTGACTTCATTAACATTGTTGGTGCAGAAAAGTAGCATGTTATTTCATTTACTAGCCTCTATATTGTATGGTATGAATTTATTAAGCTTTACTTACACGGAAGAGGATCATGTGGTCCACTACACCCAATAAATTTTCCAGGTAACCATGACGGCGAAGACACAGGGCAATCGCTGATAACCCGATCCTGTGCATTATGTATATTAACAGGACAGATACGACATGGTAGACAAGTTTCAGCATTTGTCACATACTCACTGCAAAAAAATTTCATAATCCACAAACAATAATATAAGCAGTCATTGTTTTCTATATTTGACTGGTAAGCTAACAAACGCTCTCCTTAAACATACATTATGCAAGAGCTAAATCTTCCTATTGCAGGTCTTTCTTTAGGTTTGAAATGTTTTCTAAATTATTAATTAGACATTAATTAACTTATCCAGGCCATAATCTACTCTCGATGGCATCGGATTTCTCCGCTATTATATAGATTAGAACAGTTCAGCATATTTTGATTTAAGCTAAAAATGGAGGAGCGAGACTTAACTTCGAACAACCAGTACGATGGTTGAAATTATTGCTCGCGTCTTGTCAAACCTTCAAAGGCTAATATCTTCTCTCGCAAAAGAGTAATTTGAATGAAATTTTCAAATTATTCATTTTACATTTTCTATTTTTGAACTATTATAGCAAGAATAGCTAGCTCTTTGTCTGAATCTTACATAATGTATCTTTAATGTGCTAACGGTATAGTTAAAGTCAAATATCCTAAAAAAAAAAATTCGCAAATAAGGAAAACTATGTCCTAATAAGGAGAGTGATTCCTTTCATGCATAAGCCAGATTTAATGTCTATATAGCTAGGGAGAGTAAGAACAGGGGTTTAGTGTCCACTCAACACAAACTAGGTCATTTCGGGGCTAACATAGGATTCAATTATTATTTCAATAATCTGTGAAAGCATAGGGGTCTTTACCAGTTGGAGGAAACCAGAGGACCCAGAGAAAACCAACACAGTTGGACAGGTGATCCTACTCTTTGTCACATACAAGCAGGGAATCGAAACAACGCCACTTGACTCAATGCCAGACCTTATGATCCAAAGTGTCACCCAACCCCCTATTTGTCAATGATATAAAATATAATAGGGAATTTATGAGAGCTATTTCCAGCTGAAAGGTGCTCGATAGAAAAACCTCTGCATGATTCTGATTCAGACACTTGATAAGACAAATATTTCTTTCATTTTTCTTCATTGGCAGCCCAAAAAATAGCGAAAGGGGTAAATATCTACTCAACATAAACTAGGCTATTTTGGAACTAACATATTATATTTCAATAGCAGATCTTATGGTATAAAGTGCCCTGTTACACCACCCAACCATACCCTTTCTGTCTGTTTTGGGATATGTTGTCCCATCTGAAGTCTGACATCAAGAGCTGACAACTGATGTTCAAGCCTCTATACGTGCCAGGGGGCTAATGGGTTGTTTTGATTATTTAGACTGAATAAAAATAAAAACTGAAAGGTTAGATACCATCTACATTGATCGATAGAATCCTGATATCTGTCAGTAACTGTCATAACTTACATTTGGATAGATTAATTTTAATAAACTTTTAACCAATTAGTTGCAAATCATCTAAAAGAGGTTTCTTTTGACCTTTTAGTTTGGTTTTAGTGTCTCATGCTAATTAATGGGCCTATATAAAAAAAGGACTACGTAATATGGACTCAAGAAAAGAACTACATTATAAGGAATACATGATAAGGACACTAGACTAATATCTTAATGTCCCAACCCACTACAAAAGTTTCAGGAATAAACTCGTTAACTTACTATTTGCCACAGGCTATAGCTAGCTCCACTATGGCTGTGACCTGAAAACACCAGAAAAATACTTTATAGTGAAATTCTACATGATACATGTATATTTCAGAAGAGGTAAGGTGTTATACTATAGCCAAGTGGTCGGGCATTGGAGACACTCAAGGGGAGGGGACAAAGGTAGGTGTGATATCCAAGTGGTCAGGGCATTGAACAGTCAAGGGTAGGGGTGAGTAAACGAAGGGTGGTTGGACACTCAACTAGATGACCCTGTAATGACTATAGTATTCCACTTGTAACATCGTAAAGAATGAGAAATGAGGTTTAAAGTACACTTGACACTGCCTTATAGGCCATTTGGGACTAACATATGATTCAATTTAATTTTAATAATTTTGCTTGGGAGGAAACCGGGGGATAATCTGAATAAGTGTCCCCCCATGGATGAACAAAGGTGTTAGTGATGTATATTGTGATGAAACCATACTAGGAATATCAAGGATGCGTTACTGTGTACTCTTTATTAAACTCCAACTTTCAAGAGTCCATTCAGATATATATTATATGAATTATGAACTATCAAAAGCATTTTTGACAGCAGTCAATCCTGTACCACTGACAAGGGCAAACCGGGCAAGAAAATCCCAATCACTATCTCAATCAACACTGGGATTGAATCCACAGGTTCCCTAGCTGTGGCCTCCCTGTAAAATGAAATACTTGTACATTCAAAATTTATTATATAGTCGAGGCTATACTCACCACAATAATTACCGATATTACTGATCTGAAGAACATCCTATAGAAGATCTGGGTCATATAATAACAGGTAAATATAAATATATATCTACAGGTGTACCAGGTCCTGTCATATCACATCAAATCTTTCTTGCTTCTGAAATATATTTAAACAGGCATTATGCAAGAGCTAAATCTTCCTATTGCAGGTTTTCTTTCGGTCTTAAATGTTATATTAATTAGACATTTATTAACATGACAAACTCTTGATGCCATCGGATAGGTCTGATTTTAAGCAGATTAGAATGGTTCAGCCATTTAATGATTTACCGTAAAAATGATGAAGTGAGGCTTAGCCTCGAACAATCAGTACGGTGGTTGCAGTCAGTGCACACATTTTGTCAGACCTTTAAAGGCTAATATCTTTGCTCAGAATAAAGTAATTTGAATGAAATTTTCAATATATTCATTTAGCATTATCTATATTTGAACTATTATAGCAAGAACGGTCAGCCTTTATCTAAATAGGTAACTATCAACCTGTAAGTGTCTTGAGTATTGTGTCAAAATTGCTTGAAAAATCTATATAAATTCAATTAGAGTCTTATCTCACTTAAAACAACCTTCTCTATGAGTATCAATCGGGCTTTCGCGGAAGATATTCTTCAGACTCATGTCTGATTCACCTCTTAGACCACTTGAAAGACCAAAATGCAAAAGGTCTATTTACAGGGCTGATAATGCTTGACCTCCAGAAAGCATTTGACACTGTCGACCCTGTTGTCTTATGTGAGAAACTAAAACTGATGGGCGTTCAGTCTACTGATTGGTTTTACTCATATCTGTCAAACAGGAAATAAGTAGTAAATGTTGCTGATACGTTATCCAAACCTGCATCCATAACATGTGGTGTGCCCCAGGGTAGTATCCTAGGACCCTTATTATTTCTGTGCTATGTAAACGAGTTGGCTATCAGTATCCCCTCCGAATGTAAACTTATCTTATACGCCGATGACAGTACAATATTATTTTCCGGCCAGAATCCTGAAGTTGTTTCACACACACTTAGTTGTGCTCTTGATTCCTGTTCAGAATGGCTCATCGATAATAAACTGTCGCTCCATCTCGGTAAAACCAAACGTATTCTTTTCGAGAGAGAAATGGGGTTTAACGTCCACTCAACACAAACTAGGTCATTTTGGGACTAACATATGGTTCAATAGTCTTTAACAGTGGGAGGAAACCGGAGGACCCGGTATTCTTTTCGAGACCTAAACATAAACTAAGTCATATTAAACAATAACCATACCGTAAAAGCAACGGATAGCCTAAAATATTTGGGACTATATTCAGTGCCGGACTGGGCCCACCTGTCCACCTGTCCGTGACAGGTGGGCCTAAGCTCATTGAAAAAAAATGGGCCTAAGCCTATAAAGAAAAAAGAAAAAAAGAGAAAGAAAAAAGAAAGAGAAAGAAAGGAGAGGGGAGGAAAGAAAAGAAAGAAGGGAGGAGAGAACAGAGGACATGAGAAAGAAAAGATAGGAAAAAAATGACTGACAAACAACACAAAAAAAGAAGTGTACTACAAGGAAAGAACTTTATGAGTTTGACCTCATTATACCAAGAACCGTGTAATTCATCTTTTAACCTCTACTTAGTTCTTCATAAGTCATTATCGCCGAAATAATCGCCAAAAACTTGCCATTTTTGAGTTTTTCGCAAAAAATTATATTCTGTGATGTGCGTCAACAGAACTGTCAAATACGTGTACTGTATGTATATTATAATTTGCATTATTTTCATCACGTAGAATAAAAGGTTTTGGTTTTTGAAACTGAAGAGAATTCTCAAATTCATCTAATGATAGTGCTCTTGGGTCATTCTGTTATCTAATTGTATCATGAAATCAAAAATTTGCCTTCTTCTGCTTTAGTCTTGTGTGGGCGCGTACTTGTGTGGGCCTTGGTCAATGACCTGACAGGTGGGCCTTAGGCACACCAGTCCGGCACTGACTATATTTTGACAAATACTTGTCCGGTGAGGAAATTGTTAACAATATTATCAAAAAATGCCTAAGCAAAAAAAACCCCAAAAATTACTTTGTTCTGCACTGATTCAGTGCCACTTTGATTATGCCTGCTCAGCTTGGTATTCTGGTGTGAATCAATCACTTAAAAATAAACTACAAGTTGTCCAAAATAAGGTTCTTAGATTTGTATATGGGCTTGGGCATAGGGACCATGTTTCATATTCAGATATCAAAATACTAAAATGTCGAAAACCAAGTTGAACAGTTAAAACTAAACCATGTACATAAGATTTTTCATAATAATTGTCCATCATACCTTAAATCAAAATTCAAATGTGTTCGAGATACTCATCAATACGGCACAAGATCTAGTTTATTCAACTTTGCTGTTCCAAAATGCGCGGCCAGAGATCAGTTCGCATCATTTCATTATAGCGCCATAAGTATCTACCGAATTACGATTTACCGAATGATATTAGATTCACTATACAGCTTTAAAGCTGCCGCCAAGAAGTATTTATTGTCAACACAACATTAATCTGCGACAGGCCTTCATGCCTGTTCATCTGCTATTAATACAAATAGTTGATGTATAAAATGTAGACATAGATATATTTAATTATTTGTGATATATTGCAGAGATTGGCATATTTTTTAAGTTTTGTCTCCTAACGATGACCTGTCGCTACCTTGACAACTTTGGACCCCATTGGAAATAAGCACTGGATGTTATATACGTCTGCCTTTATGGGCTATCCTAAGAAAAGGTCTCTTCATGACACCATATCTACATGTATGATACCTCTCTTTTCTCGTCTCATTTCACATCCCAATCATACAATGCAGCACATAGTTCTTATTTCATATCTATATTTATTGTTGTCACTTTCCCACTCATACAATGCAGCACATATTTCTTATTTCATATACATACATATATATTTATTGTTGTCATGTTGTAACCTTTACTTGACGAATAAATAAATAAATAAATAAATAAATAAATAAATAAATCTTACATACATGTAATCTATGCCTAATGTACATGGATATTGACCCAGTATTACAGATGGTTTTCAAAAGATTACTCATGTGTTTTCTAATTGGCTTTACTAATGGGTTGCACTATTTACCCAAATCCACCATTATTTTAACTCATATAATAATAATTTATATCTATATTTGATAATATACTGTTCTTTATGCCAAATTGTCATTTTTAATTTACAATCGTAACATTTTTGTGTCTTAAAATATCAAATTCTAACTGCCAAGGGTTCTTTTACAAGTACGGGCATGCCAATGTGTACACAGGAAATCAGTCTCATCTGAAACGACAATACAATATGATGCACGTTGCCAGGCCTTCTGTGCAGCATCACTGACAAGGATCGAGGAGCCCCGCTGGAAAATCCTGATGACCTACCTTTTTAGGCCATACACTGGGATCGAAAACGGGATCTCCAGGTGAGAGAGAGAGAGAGAGAGAGAGAGAGAGTTTAATGTCCACTCAAGACAAACCAGGTCATTTCAGGACCAACACATGGTTCAATTTCATTTCAAATTTTCACTGGCGCATAGGGATCTTTAGCAGTGGGAGGAATCCGAAGGGCCTAGAGAAAACCCCCGAGGTTGGACAGGTGACCCTCCAGGTTAAAGAACTATAATGTCTTACTCACTCAGCCATCGTTCACAACTTTCAAGGGTTAATCCTATCCAATCTACATGTAACTTAGATAACATACCTCATATCTCAACCCTCCATGTCTAACCCAGCAGATTTAAAGTTTTTAGGTTTACCATAGCATAACACACTTAAAACACTCTACACCTTTTAAACAGTTAATTTTCAGTAAAGTACGTGGTTTGTCAATTATCAAATTGGTTATATTATTATAACAGCGTATAGCCTACATGGACACCTTGATTTGTCATGTCGAACTTTGTGATTAAATATAATTACCAAACACAAAGTCTTCTTTTTCTTCTGTAATTATGGAAACCAACCTTATCCACAAGAGTACCTAAAACCACAATTGTGTAAGATATTATTATCACTCAGTTATTAAAATATCGAAAATGGTTACCACAATAGTTTAAAGTAGCTAAGTCTCTAATTCAATATCATCCAAAATCTTTGACATTGAAAACACGAATTATTTGTCAATTTAAAACAACATTGATGTTGTGATCTTACGGGGAAAAGATGGGCTTCTGATATCCAATAATTAAGACAGCATAAACATTTTACCGTTGGTATACGAACCGTGTACCATGGTGCATTTCAGCGCCATTTTTAACAAGGGACTCGTAGAAAGAGGCTAGATATATTCCACAAGTCATGTCAAACGGTGACGTCATATTCTTATCTGGAGAGCATGCGCAATAATTACTATCGGTATGGGTTGAATAACCAGACGCTAGAGATTGCCATTCAATTGAGACTTCTGGAGTATTTCGCCGAACATACTGATTACAAAATGCAGTACAAACAGAAGCGATTAAATGTAAATCAGTTTATATTCATTCATATTACATTATTATATGCGTTGCGACTTGCGACCCATGGCATTTATGTCAATTTCTCGATCCAAAATATTAATAATAGCGATTTAGCTCCTTTAAGGTATCAATTTTTAAAATATTAAAAAGGGTTATTCGTTAAAATCTGTTTTACTAAAACTGCACATGTACATGCGATAAAATCCTAACGTTTTTTGGGTTTTTTTTACAGTTCTTGTACAATCTAAAACCGGTTTACTTACAGAACTGTGCGGACTTTACAAAGTGGATTCCCCTTTCTAAAGCAGTAGAAACAGCAACCGACTTGACTTGTCTGATGACTGAATTCCGTCTTTCAATCTCTTTTTAAAAACCTTAGTTTTAAATAGCCTAGTTTTTGGTGTTCTTTTACAGTTATTGACTGTTTCAGGCTCGGTATTTTGAGTAAACCTGTTTTAGATGGTAAGTGTTAGATATTATGAAGCAGGGCCGATTTTTATAGATTCTATAAACCGAGTATAATTTAAGCCCCGCCCTTTTGTTGTTTAGACCCTTCCCACTTTTTTGAAGGTTAAGGTTGCAAGGGGCCGTTTATTGTTAGGCCTATTGATGAACATAAAACTTATTCTCCCTGAAGTTGAGAATACTATCGTTGGATCTTTCTCTGAGGGAGGAAGATTTCCAATACCACCTAATATGTCTACAGAAGTATTTCAATCTGATGAAAATTTTAATAAGTTTGTTGAAAATTTTGAAGTTAATTCCACAACACGTTTTGTTGTGTCATATAAGACAGAGGCGGGGCGCCTCCCCCCCCCCCCTAATTTTCGACAGTGCCCTTTTTTACTGCTGAAAGTGCCTTTTCTCAGACTCAAATATGTCCGTTCCCAACCCGTTGTAGGGATCCAAATACCTCAAACCATCGACTCAAACACACCAGTCTGGGGAATAGCTCTTGGAATGGCTAAGATGCAAGGAAATGACGGATAATTTTCTTCCCCCGCCCCCCCCCCCCCCAATGCCTTCATTTTCAAAATTCCTAGATCCGCCCCTGTAAGAGAAAGTTAATTTAACAGGTACAGTAATTTGTTTATAACTCTTCAGTTGCGTTCGGAGCCGTGTGCGTATTTTTATTTTTTTATGTAATCACCCTTTCCATTCGTAGGTCCGTCCACACTTTTTGTCAGCGCAATAGAGGATACAGTTTTTATACGCCCACATGGAAATGTGGTCGTATATTGTCGTCACCCCCGCCCGTCGGTTAAACAGACTACATTTATCATCCGATCTATATGAAATTGATATGCAGTATTTAAATTAGTGAAACAGAGAAGCATATTGAATTTTTCAGCGATTTTCAGTGATCACTTTGAAAATTCTTGTGGACGCTCTACTAAAGTTATCATCCGATTGACTTGAAATAGATACACAGTGTTTATGGTCATGAGATGAAGAATCTTATTGATTGACAATAATTACTGCTAGAGTTATAGCCCTTGATCACTTTGAAAAATCTTGTATACTAAGGGGCTACAGTTAATGTTATCATCCAATTGACACAGTGTTTATGTTCATGCCCGTGTTACAACGATATATAAAATCAGAATTTTTAATTAAGTTAAAAAAAATCAAGATTCCAATCTTTAGACACATATTACGGAAGCGTATAGGGGTCACGCAAAATTTTGTAGAAGACCTCGAGATCCTGCGATCCTGTGATACTTTCTCGAGATCTCAACTTAATGTTCTCGAAATCCCCTAATAATTTTCTCGAGAATCTCCCATCCTGTGTTAACGATCTCGAGAATTCGAGTTAACTTTCTCGGGATCTTGCCATCCTATGTAAATTTTCTCGAGATCTCGGGTGTTTTTATGCGTGCGCGTAGATTTAACGTATTCTCAGCAAACCCACAACCAGTCGTTTCGTAATTTACCTCCCCCCCCCCCACAACACTTTCCCCAAAACCTTAATAACACGATAGAGCCTACAGATTTTAACGGATTTGTTTCAAATTTAGTGTAAAGTATTGGGGCCATGAGAGGGCGGTCCCTGTCGCTTCTAGCGCACCTTGTCGTTCTGGAGTTGTCCACCTTTTCCGAAAAAATTGTTAATCCATTAGAGGCTAAAGTTTTTAACTGATTTCGTTTTTTAAATGTGGTGTGAAGCACTAGGACCTTTCGATTTTCAGTACTTCGCAAACTTCTGTTCGAGAGTTACCCTCTTTGTCCGTATTTTTTTCAAATGTGAAGATGAGAGGAAGAACCCTATCGATATACAACATTCTTTGACCTTCTGTTCCGTAATATACCCCCCCCCCACACACACACACACACCCTTCACCTCCCTGGAAGCCTTGTTCACGTCATAGAGGCTTCGCCTTTACAATTTTGTGTGAAGCTTTGGGGTCATTCATATTGAATGGTTAGCGATCTTCCGTTCCGGAGTTATACTCTCCATTAACGGATTTTCGATATTCAGTGTTCCGCGACAAAGATGACTGACCCCTGTTAATTTTCAGCAATATAAGGTTTTCTGTCCCAGAGATATAACAAGCACGGGAACACGATAAAGATTAAATTTCTTGATGAATGCTAGATCCTTATTCAATTTATTAAACAACCAAGTTTTCTTTTCGAATAATTTGCTGTTGAGGCATAGATGCCGCGTGGGCGTATCTCCACACTTTGCGTGGCTATCGTTCAAATTCCTATTTTCCGGTAAACCTTTTGAACGCGTTAGAGCCCAGAGTTTTTCAAGATTTTTTATTTAAAATCTGCTCCGAAGCATTTGTGCCACAAGACGATAAACTCTATATCTAGCTTTATTCTAAAACAATATATGGTCTGAAAACCATGCAAAAAATGACATTTTCAATTAAACGTCGCCCACACATTAAATTGGAATAATTTAACAAGCATGTCTGTAATTCAAAGCTTCACACGTTAAAGCTAACGTGGCAGGGTTTTGAATTTCATATTTGGTGTGAAGTATTGGGGCCATAAGAAGATGAACCCTATCGATTTTAATCATATTTCAAATTTAGTGTAAATCATGGGTACCCTATCGATTGTCCGTTTATTCTTTCATTAGTTGGCAGTTTTCCTTCGTAAAAAATGTTAGAGTACTTTTTTTTTTATCAAATTTGATGCGAAGTATTGGGCGAATGGTGGCTTCACAACGTGGAGATAGTATCATGTAAAGTTTTATATTAACCCGGGATCTCGAGAAAATTTACATAAGATGTCAATATCTCGAGAACATTAACTCGAATTCTCGAGAAAATTTACACAGGATGTCAATATCTCAGGAAAATTATCAGGTAATTTCGAGAAGATTAAATTGAGATCTCGAGAAAATTAACAGGTGATCACGGGATTTCGAGAAAGTATCACAGGATCGCAGGATCTCGAGACGTTCTATAAAATTTTGCATGACCCCTATACGCTTCCGTAACATATGACCAGTTTCAATATAATATGTTATCAAATTCCATTGAATATCAAATTGCACCATTCTTACACAAATGAAATAATAGACGAAACATTCTGAAAAACGTTGTATACATGTAGTTTGAAATTCTGTGACGGGCTCAAAATGTTTACTCTTATATACTATTCAAAAAAAGTAGGGGATATTTGATTTTTAAGTGTTATTAAAGTCACCTAATGAAACTGACGAAGAAACAAATGACAAAATGAAATGAAGTTCACATTCATCGATTTATTCCAAATGATCGTTAGACTAAGTAAGGCACAGACTGACCATTATAAGGGTAAAATGATACCCGGGGTCAAACAGCAAAGTTACCACAGCATCACAACCAAGTCAGTAACGGGTAAATCCTCCTCTGTTTGCCAAACAAGCATTGATCCGACGTGGCATACTCCTAATGAGACGTCTAAGGTCATTTTGGTCCAGATTGTCCCATTCCTGTTGCAACGCAGCAGCAAGTTCTTGGACATTGGCAGGACGTTGTTGACGTTGACGTAACCTCTGTCCAAGCATGTCCCAGACATGCTCGATGGGGGAGAGGTCGGGACACAGTGCTGGCCAAGGTAATGTGGTGATGTTCTGTTGTTGGAGGTAACCTGTAACGATCCTGGCCCTGTGACATCTTGCGTTGTCATCCTGGAAGATGAAACGGCGGCCATGACGTCGTGCGAACGGCACAACATGGACTGCCAAGATGTTGTCCCGGTAGTACTGGCCTGTAACACGCCCTGCAACAACATGTAAAGCCGTTCTTCCAGCAACAGTGATGCCTCCCCACACCATAACAGAACCACCCCCAAATCGATCATGTCTGATGACGTTAACGTCTTGGAAGCGTTCGTTTCGACGACGCCACACCCTCCTACGTCTGTCCAAAAAATCAACAGTGAACCTTGACTCATCTGAAAACATCACATTGCTCCAGCGTCGATTATCCCAGTGTTGACGATCCCTACACCAACGACGTCTTGCCTGAATGTGATGATCTCTCAAACAAGGGATCACGCGAGGACGTCGGGCGCGAAGGTGACCCCTATGCAGTCGATTCCGAATCGTCTGGCCACTCACTCTCACACCAGTGTCTGTTTGAAGACGAGCGCTGATCTGATTTGCTGTGATGACACGATTTCCCAAGGCCAAGGTACGGATAAATCGATCCTGGGCTTGAGTTGTCGCCCTTGGTCGACCTGAGCGTGGTCTGTCCTGTACAGATTGTGTATCACGGTATCTGGACCATAGCCTGCTTATGACAGACTGAGAAACATTCATCGTCCGCGCCACAACCGCCTGTGTTGTGCCGATCTGTAGCATGCCAAGGGCACGTAACCTTTCATTTTGGGTAAGCCGACGCATATCAAAATTTGTTTTCTGGTCACTAAAACAATTAAACTGATGTTTCCACCCTGGAATTCAATGCCACAATGACTGTAACATTCAAAGTCAGAGTCGTGCAAATCTTGGGTTGGACCCCCATGATGATCCCAAGCATCACCTGCATTCCATGCGGTAGCTATTGGTGCGTTTGGGCGTCACATGTAACTGGAAATGTTTCTTCTGTTAGGTTCTATAGTGACTTTTTTCGTAGTCATTTGCATATTTTAGTATTATGCCCCCAAAATCAAATATCCCCTACTTTTTTTGAATAGTATATATATGGTTACATAGCTTTAAACATAGTATGAAATTTTATGATTAGAAATAGGTAGTTTAGAAACATGTGTTTACTTAATTAATTGGGTTATCTGTATTTATTGCCTTATAGTATTCGAAAATGTTTAGAAATTTTATAACTGGTTTTAATTTAAACATATAGTATATGAAATTTTATGATTAGAATAGGTATTTTAGAAACAGGTGTTTACATAATTGTTTTATCTGTATTTATTATCTGTATTTTAGATATATATTTGTATTTATTGCCTTATAGTATTTTAGATATATATCTGTATTTATTGCCTTATAGTATTTTAATGT